TAGGGTCAAAGCCACACCAAAATGTGTGTCTTTAGGGCACGGAGGCAGACAACAAAGTGTATTTTCTGCCACAGATCTGAATCCATGTTATCAAGGGAATGGTCTTTCCCAGGCCAAAACTTCTCAAGATTCTTCCCAAAGTTCAAATATCTTGAAGACTTTGGATGGGTTTCCACTCATAAAACATGGGAAGCCAGGGGAAAGGCAGACCTGAGAAGTTACAGAGGGAAGGGATAATGGTGGCTCTCATCCAGATCTGTGACCATGTGGATTGGAACAGAACCATGATTAACCAGGTCTCACTGCTAGAGAAAAGGTCAGTCCAAGGTAACTACACACTGCGGTTAACATCCCAAATTTAGGGACAATTGGAGAGATTTCAACAGCTACTTCATCCTAATTCATTAAGCAGGTTTAGCATAGCCCCTCTTGCTGGCATTTCCCAGCCCATGGTTGATTCTGTTCCTTATGCTTCACACTAGATAATCCACTCTCTCAAACCCTCTTGGGTATTTCTGTATTCATTCTCCACCCAGTCTTGTGACTTTGTTTACTCTTCCCCATACCTGTAAAACCCTCCCCACACATCTTCAGCTTTCCAATCCTTCCAGGTTTCCAGGGCCTATCTAGAAGACCAGACCTTCTGCAACACTTTCCTGAGCCTCTGTCTAAAGTTATCTTGCCTGCCTGAGGGCACAATGGACAGATATATGGAAGGTGTTTGGTATGTTGAAAGCACCCAAAACATTTGCACGGTTTTATCTAAAATTGGGTTGCGAATTTCTGGTGAATCACATCAAAACTTTGGGCTTAGGGTTGGGGGCAAGAAACAAAAAAAATTTCTTCTGGAAGATTTTATTTTCTATTAGAAAATGAATGCCATTTATGTATCTTTGGTAACTAAAGCCTTCACATACATAAGACTAAATCAGCTCTTCTTTCAATTATCTAATTTATTATCCAAACATGTTCTCTAAGTTTTGATTCAGAAAGTATAGTTCCTTAATGCCCCCTTTGCCTAATAGAAGTCATGAGTTACAGATGTCCATTTCACAAAGCATAAGTCATTCTTTGAAGGAAATTACACTTGACTTAGCCTGAGCTCACACCTGGCATTCCTCAGTAGACCCCTGTGCTTCACTCTTAATACAGTACTATAGAAAAGGGTTTGAATTCATATACAGAATTCTGAAAGACATTCTATATGGAGACTGCCTCTGGGAATGAAGAGCTTGTAATTAAGCCTCTGCCTCTGAATTGTTAGCCCAGATAATTTGCAATCACTAAACCTGGGCAAGCAAATTCTCCTGTTCCCTGGGGCCACAAGGTACCTGGTCTAACCCTCTACCAGGTGCCCATTAGTTCATCCAACAAGCACGCATCGACCTCCTAGTGCCCAGAACTTGTTTCCTAGAGACTTGTTCTGTTCTTTGCTTGAGGATAGCTCCTTTCTTCTCTTGATACAAACTATCACCACTCTCGGAAAAAGTGAACAGACGCCGCCTCAGAATGTTTTTTTCTCCTTTTAGTTCTCATTCTCAAGATCTGGTCTCTACAGACATCTCCTGGTTATGTTTTATAGTTCTCAGTATTTAAAAATTGCATGCCAGGGAGCCTCTAAAAAGATTCAGAATGTTTGTAGTAAAGAATACCCACATTCCTGTTCTCCTTTGGTAGCCTTTCTACCTACCCATACCAAAGATCAGCTAAAGAGAAACACTAGGCCACTGCAGCTCGTGCTGATCGCCCCTTCTAACCTATAGCACTTAATATCTGTCTTTCATTTTCCAAGTTGAATGTCCAGGATTGTCATCTACCTCACTCATACTGCATTTATCCAACCCCTTCTATGAACAAGGTACTGTTTTAGGACCCTGAGGGAGATGAAGATATGAACAAAACACAGTTCCCATCATTAACTAATTACCTCCTAGATCCCGGGTACTATGATAAGCTCTAAGATACAGTGGTTGGCAAAAACAGGCATGGCCCTTCCCCTCATGGAACTTACTAGTGAGAGAGGCAGACAGGGAGCATGTATGTTGTATTTACTACTGTGTATCACAAGGCACATAGTCGGTACCCAATATTTATTGAGTGAAAGCAAATGACCAAATATATCATGATAAATTGTGAGGTGCTATGAATTGAGGAAAACAGGAAACAGTGATAGCATTAATAGGGAAGATAGAGACAAAAGGCTGCCAGAGAATGCCTGTCTGAGGAAGTGACACACCAAGACCTGAAGGATGGGGACTAGCCAGCTATATGCTAATACTGGAGATGGGAGCATTCTAGTGGAGGGAGCAGTATGGGTAAAGTATGTTTGGGGAGAGGGAATAGCAGGGTGAAGTCTCTGAGGTAAGAGCTCGGCATGCGTCCATAGGAAGACTACAGTGAGCCAGGGGGAAAGTGGTATATGAAGAGGGGTCACAAGAGACAAAGTACAAGTAGGCAGGGGCCTTGCAGGATACTGTAAGTAGTTTGGATTTTATTCTAAGTGTCCATGAGAAGTCATTTAAGGGCTTCAAGCAGGGGATCACGTGATCTAATTTATTACTTTAAAAAAAATCACTGTCTATAGACAACTGTAGGAACAAGAGTAGAAGGACTCCAGCTAGGAGTTATAACAACCCATGGGAGATCATGGCAGTTTGGACTAAGGTAGCTATAGTAAAAGTGAGGAGAGTCAAGACACACTTTGGAGGTAGAACTGACAGACTTGTTGACAGGCTGGATGTAGGGAGTAAGAGAAGAGGAAAATTAGGGATAACTTCCAGGTTTCTAGCTTAAGCAACTGGATGGGTGGAGGTGCCATTTTCTAAGATGAGGAAAACTGGGAGAAAGAGTACAGCCCCAGGGTGTATCACTGCTTATTTTTAATGAGGCAATGTTAAGTGTTCATGTCAAGTAGGCAGCTGAATATTTGAGAATCTAAAGCTTTCTAATAGGGAAGACAGGACACGGATGTTTGTGATACAAGCCTTGAAAAGTTAAATGTTCACAGAGAAATTTTTTGTCTAGCTGGGTTAATCAGAGAAGTTTGCAGGAAAAAGTTGGCATTTGAGCCAAAGGAAAGATGATGAGGGAAAGCATTCCAGGTAAAGGGAATGAAATTGCAAAGGTGGAGACGGGAGAAATCTTAAAGCATGCTCAGAAATTGGAAAATTGCTCAGTTTAGACGGAATGTGGCTTGTATCTGGAATGTTACTAGATGACTCTAGAAAGGGTGACTGAAGCCAGATCACAAAGGGCTTTGAGCACCATCCTAGGGAATTTGTACTATACAAGGTGGGCAATTGGGAACGCATTAGCAAGTCTTTGAGCAGAGGCATGACCTGACAAAGTTGTTAAAAAACAAAATTTGGTGACACTGAGTAGGGTGGATTGAGGAAGGAGAACAGGAGGCAAGGGAGGCCATCTAAGAATTTATTTAGATAATCAAGGCATGAGGTAATAAGTTATTTAGGTAATAACCTAAATGTTGATCATGGCAATGGAAAGTTAAATGCAAATGTGGGAGACATTTTAAAGGGGAATTATGATTATGTTAACCTAACAGGAAAGCCAGGAGGAGGCACCTGCTTTTTTCTTCTCAGTATCTTTTGCCTCCACACTAGATCATAACCTCTGGTAAGGCTGGGAGTTATTTTTCAATCTTTCCACAGTGGGATTTAACACTATCAACGAGATCTCATGCTAGTATGGCTTCGTAGTAAATAGGAAACAAAGAGGTAGCTTTGGTATTGAAGTGAATGGACTCACACAGATAGTGGTACTGGAAAAAGCAGTGTGGGGTCAGGACCACAAACCAAGGAATGGGCTGAGAGTAAGCACTAGGAAAGAAGAGTTCAAATTTCCTACCTTCTTCCCTTTAAAGCCTCATTGCCTGCCCTCCTTCCTACTCCGTCCCTTCATTCAGCCAACAAACACTCACATAGGCAGAACCTTCAATGCTCTGAATTTTTTCCTCCAGCAGACTCCCATTCATCTGTGTGAAATCCCACCCGCTCACAGCCCCCATGTGATGAATAAGTCTCACTGAGAGAATGTCAGAATGTGCTACTCTTCCCTCAGTACTATTTACATTTAGACAACTGTGGCCTTGACTATCATAATCCAAATGTCTAACATGAAAATTAATCACATGGCAAGCAAGAGCTGGGGTGAGGTGGAAGGTAACGGGGCAGGGGATATCTTTCAGTACTCATTCTAATGATGAAGCCTGGATCTGGCCTCCCCTCATTCCCTGCAGTCTCACTGGGATATCTACTATGAACCCCCTTTCAAAGGAGGTAAAATTAATTTGGAAAAGTGTTCTGAAGTAACTCTGTGGGAGAGAAACAGAATGAATATCCAAGACATTTCCTCTGGACTAGCTAATCCTTTTGCCACTGCTTGATCTCACCTTCCTTTGATTGTTTCTCCTCTACTTCCTACTTTTTACTGTTGGTATATTTTTATGTGTTCATTGTTCAATGTCTTTTGAAAAGTATCCTGAACTCTTTGGAGAGTATGTGCTATGTAAACACAATAAAGAAATGAATACAATGTCTCCTTTTACAAGATAATAAGTTTTACTATTTCTGATAGTATGAGGTTTACCCCTCACTCAGCACTAGCCTGAAGAGTGAGTAGGTGTATTCTGGGGGACATCAGATAGATTCCACTCTAAAATACTTCCCTAACTACCCGAAATCCTCCCATTAATTTGATGATAAATATATTTTTTAATTTGAGCCTTATAGGTTTGTTTTTCAAGAATCCCTTATTAAAATGCAAATACCAAAGCAGGTGAACAGATCATGATGTAACCTTAGTTCCCTTTACATTAACCCACCACTTCTATCAAACACATTTTTCACATTCCAAATTTTTCCACGCCTTTGTTTATGCTTTTCTTCTTCCAGAGGTAATGCTAAATTTAATATAAATTAGAAATATAACATTACCTTATATTTTCACATAATCTCTCATTTGATATTCAAATCCAAGCCTACTTGATCTTTTTAAAAACAATTTATTTTTTCCAATGTAAGAATAACAAGTTTAATACTGAAAATCTGAAAAAGGCAGGAAGATAGGAAGAAGAAAACTATCAACCATAGTCCTACCACCTAAAGAACACTCATTGACAGTGTGGCCATGCTCATTCTTTAAGCCTTAATTTAGGTCCCATTTCTGGTGTGGTGCCTTCCTTGAACTTCCTCCCCTAGATCTTCCATGTCATATCTGTACCACTCAGTTGTACATATCATACACTTTTGTGTATAATGTGATGTATGTCTTATGTTTCCAATGAGATTGTTACATCTTCGAAGGCTGCAAACATGAGTTATACTTATTAGCTTACCCCCAAAACACCTGGTATACCGGACCCAATATCTGCTGATTGATTTAACCTAAATGAATACAAACCATTTCAGAAAAAGATATAAAATAGACCACATATCCAGGTCATGAAAATTAAAGCTTTCAGGTCACCTAGCTTGGTGACTATTGCTTTTCTATTCCTAGACTCTTTAAAGTCTATTTAAACCGGCCTCTTTCTCCACACCAAAACTGATAAGAAGGAGACTGATTATGAGCCAGAATTTACACAGAGATTCTCTATATAAGGCATAAAGGTGAGGGTGAGAGAGAGAGAGAGAGAAAGAAAGACACAGATGTGGGGGAGGGAGAGAAAAGAGAAGAGACAGAAGAGAAGAGAAGGGTATACAGTCTGGTGCTCAATCCAGTATGTGATTTGCCTCCAGCACCGTGTACAGGATCCCATCCACTTGTTCTGAGTCATACCCGATCTCACGAAGCTCCAAGTGAGGGAGGACAGAAGTAAGGAGATAGCTGACGTGGATACGTAGCCGCGTAAGCTTTGCCAAAGCCCTGTATGAAGGAGTGAGGGGGCAGGAGAAGAGATGACATGGAGTCATTAACCAACAGAAAAAAATGAAGCCCCTTCAAAATGGAACCACATTTCTCAACAGTTATGTTTTCATTAGCTAGAAAGAAGAAAGCACAACACCACCAAGCACAGGGAGACTGGCTGCAGCTTTCTAAGAAGTAATTACTCAATTCTTGGTGGCCTGTGAATTAAGGCTTCCTCCTTTGTCTATGGCCAATAACATGGGGTCCTGAGGGATGCTTCCCATTAGCACTCACAAGCTGATAACTAAACCCTAGTAATTAACCTTTCTAGGTCATCTCCCTCTGGGGTCCGGTAGGAGACCTGAGCCTTCTGCAGCATTTCCAGGTGTGTCTCTGCTTCCTTCAATTTCTCTTTTAACTCTTCCTTTTCCTCTTTGGTTCTTTCCAGCTCAGCTTTCAGAATCTGGAATTCAGCTTGGCGATAACCCATGTGTTTCTTGCTCCAGTACAAGCCTTCCGCCTCCTGGGTACTGTAGATCACCAATTCATGTTGGACTTTCTTGAATTCAGACTGCCAGTGATTCCTCTCCTGTTCCAGCTCCTCCACCTGCAGTCCAAGAAACAGAAATTCAATGACCCCACAAAAAAACATGCCCAAAACCATTCCTCATATGGTCATCCTGTGATTCCACTATACATATTCCTCTACCTAGGGACCTTTTCAATACCCTAAAATGGGCAGGAAGCCTACTACAGTTACTCTATCTGAAACACCACAGAATAGTTCAAGGGCGTATTTTGTTTAAAGGCCTCAGAACATTAAATAATCAGGGCACCAACATCCCGGTCTCTTGGTTACAATGGTCTCTTATTCCTAGTGGTGAGGTATTACCCTAACCTTTTGCTGGAACAAATTCCTTTCAGCCAAAACACGTTCCAATTTTTCTGTGGTTCTCTTCAATTCTTCCAGCTCTCTCTGGTTCTTCATCTTTGGTGTATTACGACCTTCATTCTCCTCATAGCCTCTTCCTTTCTCCCCAGTGGCTGCAGCAGGGATTGCAGCAGAGGCCACAGAATAAGGCACTGGGTTCCAGGATTCAACTGCTTTTCGTCTCTCAGCAAGCTCCTCTCTGTTAAAAGGGATCAGCTGAATGGGAGCTCCTGAATCTCTAACACCTTTGGCAACACCAACAACAGCTACAAAAGGTCCCTTGTTCACTTCCTCTTTGTTTATGCTTGTGCTACTTCTGTTAGATTCTTCTGCCACCAATCTTGGCATCTGATCTTCTAATTCTTCAGGAAGCAGGGACCCCTGGCGTTGGTCTTTGGTCCCTGGATACAGAATTGAAACCTCCCTATTCTGACCTGTATTCTTGCTTGCTTCTGGATATTCTGGGAAAAGGTATGGTGGTGTACTTCTCTCAGAACTCGATTTATCATGGCTGTTCTCCCCTTCTGGGTAGGCAACAGGTGCCTCTACCCTCCTGTAAGGAGCAGGCATGGAATAATCTAGAGAAGGTGTTGTCATCTCATTCTGGAGCCTTCTTCGTTTCTCTACTGGTTCTTCACCTAGGATCCATTTGTACTTACTGCAAGGAGAGGAAATTAAATTGTAAGCTGTCACAGTACAAGTTAAGTATTTTCTGATCCTATGGAGCCCCAACTCAAACTTCCCATATTCAGACCAGCTCTAGATGTTACCCACAGACAAGTTCAGGTTAGGGATACAACTTTACCCACAAGCCTCAACCCTTTCACCAGTGCAATTGGTATTAAGGGAGAGGTGAAGTTGAAAGATGTGAATGGGCAGCATCTGGGTATAATAGGACAAGGTTGACCTTGGTAAGAGTTCTAAAAATAAGATTGCGACCAGCCTGACTTAGAAGTATCCTAAAGATGCAAGTCTAGAAGGAAGACAAAAAACACATACCCCAAATCCCCTAACACAAGAATGGAATAAAAAGGCCATAAAAAGCCTAGAGGAGTATGCAGAGAACAGTGCCAACTCATTAATTTTACAGCGTCACAAATGCCTTCCAGTATCAAATACTTATGTACATTTTTTTTTTATATTGCAGCAGAACCACACAATTCTTTCACCAGCCCACTGGATTGTGGCTAATGCCCCCAGTTCACTTGTAAAAGTTAATTGAATCACAGGGGCCTATTCAGAAACAAAGAAAGTGAATCAGCCAATTCAAGTCATTTCCCCTTTATAACAAAGAATTCCCGTGCTCAAGCACAAGCAGACACTCCCTGAGTTCTGCAGGAAAGCCCATGATGATGGCCTTAAGTCACCTTCCATTTCTGGCTGCTGTATGCACTAGGGGTTGAAGAACTAATGAAACAACTGGCACCAGAGAAATCCATTGGCAATTTTTAATCGTGCAGCAGGGTGGGAACCCCATTTTTATCCTTACACTATTCTGCCCTCTCTCTGGATAACCAAGACATTTCAAGATAAAATCAACTTTCAAATTTTCAATGAGAAAGCATCAGACATATGATTTGCCACCTCATACTACCTCAAGGCTGCCCATATTTCTCTGTATTTTCTGAGAACACCTGTAAGACAAACCAAACTGTAGCTTCTTATAATGCCCATATGTTCTTCAGAAATACAACTGATCTGCCATCCTAACAGATCTTGTCGTGTTAGCCTTAGGTAAAAGCAAAAGGACTTAGGACCTATGTAAGAACAACTGTATCCATCTTTGAAGATGTATAAGGACTACTAGTGATGGCCCATTCAGCTGTGTTACTGAAGAAGACAGCAAACAATCGGTTGGCAGGTATAAAGGAAAAATATATAATACTAAATAGCAACAACCAAGCCTTGTGAAAAGCAATTACAGTCATATTATTTGCCTTCTCTTCGTTTTCCCACCTCTAAGGGTTCTGTCCTTAACTATCTTCTCTTCTGACCCTGTGTTTCTTCTCCTTCATAATCTTATACAACCTCTTGGCTATAACCTCTGGGCAACAACTCCCATATTCTCCCAAACCCTGACCCCCAGTACTGAATTTCCAACTGCCTGTCACATATTTCTTCCTGGAGTCCCACTGATATCTCAAACTCAGTATGTATAAAACCAACCTTTCATTTTTCACCTTCAAACCTGCTCCTTTTCCCTGTTTCCTATTTGTGTTACAACAGCACCAAACTGTCAGTAATATTTATACAGTAGTTTTATATATTATCAATACTCAAGTTCAAGCTCCCTCTACCTTTCCTGGACTACTGCAATGGCTTCCCCCTATCTCCAGTCTCCCCTTCTCTTACCTCCAGATCACTGTCCCAAGCTAATCTTCCTAAAGCATTGCTCTGATCATGCTACTCCTCTATTCAAAATCTTTATTTATTGCTCCCCACAACATAAAAGCTTAAATGTCTTAGCTCAGTATTGAAGCTTTTCCATGCCCAAACATAGTAAACATTGACTGAGCACTTACTCTGTACCAGATCATGTAAGAAGTGCTTAACATGTATTGCCTCATCTAATTCTTCCAATAAACATAGGGATTATTATCTCCATTGTTTTAAGGGGATGCTCAGGAAGAAGTAAAGTAACTTTCCCAAGATGGCTAGTAAGTATCAGAGCTGGGACATAATTTGGCCCTAGCTTTATCTCTCATTACTCCCTTCACAAACATCAGTCAAACTGGATGCCCTGTAATTCCTCATGCTGCTCCTTTTGACTGGAGTGCCCTTCTTCTACCCAACACTGCATGTGTAAATCCATCTCAAATGCTACTTCCGAATTCCTATAGCACTTCAAACACTCTTATTAAAATGCATCACTTACTACTGTGTGTGTGTGTGTGTGTCTCCTAGTATAAGTTCCTACACAGAAGGGAGCTTAATTAACCATGCTAGATGGGGAGGAGGGAACAAAACTTTCACATAAGAGGCAACCAAAAAAAGAACTATTATGTGAATGAGGGAAAATAACTAGATTTTACTTATTGGTGCTATACTTCTCCAGAAAGTCTGGCAAGTCCTTTTAGGAATCAATTCTCATACCAGACTTGTATTCACTCATTGAGTAGAAATTAATTATGGGTTTTATATACTAGAAATTCTCCAACTACACAGTTCCCTCTTATTTCCTTTCTGCTCTTTGTCATATTCCTCCATTGTCTGTCAATTTATGGTGCATTTTTGGTTTTCTCCTTTAAGTATTTTACATTTTCTGACATACACCATGTTTCTGCTCCTTCAAAATGCTTTCTGAGAGGCTTCTATAATTAACCACTATCAGTTTTTGTATTCTTTCATTAACCAAGACAGAGAATGATATATTCAAATTAATATATTTCATTTTTTACTCACTCATTTCATAAATGTTTCCTACTATGTTTAAGGAATAGGCAAGAATAAGGACCAAAAATCACAGCCCGTAATAGTGTATATATACTCCTTCCAGATGATGTATTTTTCAACATCTTTACTGGGACAGAAATATATAAATTCATTTAAGGTGTACAATTCAACAATTTTAGTACTCTCACAGAGTTGTGTAACCATCACCACAATCTAAGTTGTGAAAATATGCACCACCCCGCAAGAAACCTCCTACACATCAGCAGTTACTCCCCATACCCCCACTGGGCCACTACTCTACTTTCTGTCTCTGTAGATTTGCCTATTCTAGGCATTTAATATAAATGGAATAATACAACATATGGTCTTTTTAAAACTTGCTTCTTTCACCTAAATGGAATAAAACATATGGTCTTTTTTAACTTGCTTCTTTCATTTAACATAATGTTTTCAAGTTTCATCCATGTTGCAGCACATAATCAGTATTTCATTCCTTTTCCTAGCTAAATAATAGTCCATTGTATGAATAGGCCACATTTTATATACATTCATCACTTGATGGTTATTTAAATTGCATCCACTTTTTGGCTACCATGAATGATGCTGCTATTAAAACATTAATATACAAGTTTTTGTAAAGATACATGTTTTCAGTTTTCTTGGGTAAAAACTTAAGGGTGGCATTACTGAGTCATACAGCATTCTGTTTAACATTTTGTGAAACTACTGGAATGTCTTCCAAAGCAGCTGCAACATTTTGCATTTATACCAGCAAGTGATCCTCCCATCTCAGCCTTCCAAGTAGCTGGAAGTACAGACATACACGCCCAGCTAATTTTTGTATTTTCTGTAGAGACATGGTCTTCCTATGTTGCCCAGGCTGCTCTTGAGCTGCTAGGCTCAAATGACTCTCCCACCTCGGCCTCCCAAAGTGCTGGGATTACAGGCATGAGCCACCATGCCCAGTCTCTTTCTTCAACTGCAATATAAGCATCTAAAACTATAATTTTTCCTCTGAGTATGTCTTTAGCTTCAACCCATTCTTTTCATATATTTTGTTTTAATTTTCATCTTTCCAATATATTTTTACATTTTCAATGTGATTTTTTTCTTTTACCCATTTGTCATTTTGGAAATTAAGACATGTGTCATTTAATTTCCATATATTTGTGCATTTTCCAAATTTCCTTAGGTTGTTGATTTCTAATTTAATTATATTGTGATTGGAGAACATCCTTTGTATGATTATCAATCCTTTTAAAAGATTCACTGAGGTTTGTTTTACAACCTAACATACAGTCTGTCTATCCTGGAGAATATTTCATGTGCATTTGAGAAGAATACATACTATGTTGTTGTTGGGTGAAGTTTTCTGTATATATGTCAGGTCTGGTTGGTTCAGAATGTTCTTCAAGTCTTCTATTTTCTTGTTGATCTTCTTCCTAGTTGTTGTATCCATTATCGAAAGTAGGGCATTAAAGTCTCCAACTATTATTGTTAAATTGTCTATTTCTCTCTACATTTTTGCTTTGTGTATTTCTGGGGCTGTGTAGTTAGGTCCATATGTGAGTGTAGTTACTACATCTTCCTGATGGACTTTATCATCAATGAAATGTCCCTCTTTATACCCATTAACATTTTTTATTCAAAAGTCTATTTTGTCTGATATTAGTATAACCAGGTTTGCATGTTGAATCTTTTCTATCCTTTTACTTTCAACCTATCTGTATCTTTGCATCTAAAGTGTGTTTCCTGTAAATAGTATATTTGCATTTTTAAAAATATATAATCTGAGGCTGGGCGTGGTGGCTCATGTCTGTAATCCCAGGACTTTGGGAGGCCGAGGCAGGCGGATCACAGGGTCAGGAGATCGAGACCACAGTGAAACCCCGTCTCTACTAAAAATACAAAAAATTAGCCAGGCATGGTGGCAGGCGCCTGTAGTCCCAGCTACTCAGGAGGCTGAGGCAGGAGAATGGTGTGAACCTGGGAGGCGGAGCTTGCAGTGAGCCGAGATCATGCCACTGCACTCCAGCCTGGGTGACGGGGCAAGACTCTGTCTCAAAAAAAAAAAAAAATATATATATATATACACACACACACACACACACACACACACATATATATATATATATAATCTGATATCTGTCTTTTGATTGGATTGCTTAATCCAGTCACATTTTATGTTACTGATAAGACAGAATTTACATCTGCTATTTAGTTTTTAAATTTTCTACAGGTGTCATGCCTTCTTTGTTCCTTTGT